TCTACTCATTTTTGTTTCATTTGTTAATATCAGTTTTTGGTGTCCACTCATATTATTAATATTTGGCTTCTTTGACAGTGATGAAAAACATATTTAAGAAACGTGAGTCAGTCCTGTGTTTAGTCTCAACATAGAGCTGAGTTTACTTAATGTCTATAAATAGTTAGCAGATCAGCACCACTACCTGAAAGTTATAAAAGGGGACTGGTCGTCCCAGCACCCAAGCAGCAGGGCAGCAATGAGGGTTTATAGTCCCCCAGTCGGCCTTCACAGGCAGGATGGACCAAGAGTCGACCACCTCCTCCTGTAAGTACTGGCCCCGTAAGGTTATATCTTGATTGTCTTATTTCGTTTTGTCCCCTTTTGTTTGTTTGCTAATAGAGAAGTGAGGTACCCACATGATGTGATCAGAAAGTATTCATGTAATTTTTTTTTTCTGACAAATGTCAGGAACATTGTAGTGTTACTAAGTGTTATGAACTCAGATCGTTTTCCAAGTCTGCTCTCCTATACTTCATTGAGTCAAAATTTAAATCATTCTTGACCTACCTAACACTCTTCCCGCATAGGTAAAGGTGAATGAAATGTATTTTTAAACTTTAATTATATTTTGCTTGCTTTAAAAACAAGAAGTCTTTGCGTCAACATAAACTAAATCTATGTCCGAGTGTATTTAAGAAAAAGCTATTAACCTCGTTGGCTAGTGCTTTGGGCATCTCTGCATTTGGGGATAGCTCTTTCGAGGAAATAGGTATTTTGGTGGTAGGAGGAACTATTTCTGATGTTTTTTAAATGCTCTTGGTGGCTATAATGGTCGTTTGCACTCTAATTGTCTTTGAAAAAATGTGTATTTTCTCAAACTTTCAAGTTAATGTAAAATCATATCCTAGCTTAAAAGTTAGTCTGGCAGAATTTTTGCATAGTTCAGAATTCAAGCCCTTGTATTTTGAGAAAGTCTTCAGATGGTTCTAACAGTGAGTAAGAACAGTTGTAGACAAAGCTTCTGGGAAGAAGAGCCATGTGCGTTTCCTGTCTGTGAGTCGGCAGTGATATTTCTAAGAAAAGCAGGGTTTACAAACTTGGAAACTGTCCCCTGAAAAGATAATACAGATGTCCTGCTGTAGAGATCAAAACATAAATGTCAGGTTTATATATTGTCCAATTTAGGTGGCAATTATTCATGCTACTAAAGATCTGTAAGCCTGAGATTTTCTTTTTGACACACTACTTTGGGAAATATATTTAGATATGCATCTTTTCAGTGAGCAGGCTAAAAATTAGCCAGGGACTCTTATCACCTCCTTTTTTCCCCTTCAAATTAAGAAAATAGTCAGCAGAATCTCATGCAGCTGTATGAACTGCCCGCTCCACTCACTGTCCGTGAACTTGGAGAATCTCTCTGGCATCGTACTCCTCTCCTACATCCAGGAGATGTTCTTGATCTTTAAAGACTGAAAACCCTCGAATAAATATTATGTTCTGACATGTGGAATAATATTCCTAAGTCAGGACTCCCTGGCTGTAAATGTCGTTATGCAATAATTCTTTGAGACTTGGCTTTCTGCCTATGGCTTAAGCTTACTTTTTGTGATAAAAGCATTGTGTTGCTTGGAGGAGTGGCCGTCAGCTGGGAGGTAAAAACAACAACAAAGGGGCGCCTGGGTGGCTCAGTCGTTGGGCATCTGCCTTCAGCTCAGGTCATGATCCCAGGATCCTGGGATTGAGTCCCGCATCGGGCTCCCTGCTCGGCGGGAAGCCTGCTTCTCCCTCTCCCACTCCCCGTGCTTGTGTTCCCTCTCTCACTGTCTCTCTCTGTCAAATAAATAAAATATTAAAACAACAACAACAACAAAACAGATCAAACCAAAGAACGTCAATATGAAATGCAGTGTGGGGCACCTGGCTGGTTCAATTGGAAGAGCGTGTGACTCTTGATCCTTGGGGTCATGAGCTCAAGCCCCACGTTGGGTGTGGAGATTACTTTAAATAAATAAAGAAAAGAAGAGAAATGCAGTGTAGTCTTAGGATACTATATGGTGTAGCTGTATTAATGATGTAGACTCTGACTGTTGATTACACCAGGAATGCGTACTCTCCTGTGATTGTGCTGGGAGAGGCTCGGGTGTGGTAAGGGGGCCATAGGAGTTACTTGTAGGCAGTACCTGAAGTTAAAAGAAATGTCCGAAAAGAGTTGACAGTAATTAGAAACAGGGGTGGGAAGGTTAGAGCAATGAACTGTTGGTTTTTGTTAATAAGCTTTATGTACCTGTATTATGTTGATAAGAATAAAATGAAAGATGTGGCATGGAAACAGAAAAAGGCCTAGGAACTTGTATCTTTTCATCCTGGATTTCTTGGTGAGCTGTTATACTCTGAAGCTAAACAGTTTCCCTTAGCTTCTGGACAGAGGTATGTTCTAATTAGAATAGTACGGGTGTATCTTTCCCTCTTGGACCACGTAGATTGCTTCGAGTATCACATTACAGAGTGTGCTCGTATTTTTTGACACATATGGTGTGTTTTAAATGTAAGTCCCAGCCGAGTTCATTTATTAGAGGTCATTACAAAAAGAACCGACTCTTCTCTAATTTATTATTGAGAACATCCTTGTGAATACCCCAAATTTTTGCCTTCACTCCTGAAGCAGTATTGTTACCCCTCAGAAGCTGTGGTAGCTGGTGCTTTGTCTGGCGGCGTTGCCTTAAAACTCTGTAGCCAGTGTCTGACCCAGCGGCTGCTCACACTGAGCACTGCTCTAGGAACGCGCCCCCCCCGCCCATGCAGGTACCGTTAAGGACGGGGATAGGCCCAGAGAGAGCCTTCCTGCTTTTCTGAGACAAGGGGGATTGGCTCACTTGTCAAGTGGGCTTTTTCCTTTTCATAGTCTGTTTAGGAAACATGAAGGGGAGAGACTTCTGGAGAAATCTTGGTGGCTTCTTGGTGGTGCTGGGAGGGACAAAGCCGGGCATCCATGCTCTGTCACTTAGCTCTGCCTCTGCGGGGACCCAGCAGTTTATTAGCCAGTCCAAGGAAAGTCCTCACGTGAAATTCCTGATCGTAGCTCACATTAATTGAGTGTTCTTATGCCCCAGGAACTTTTTAAAGAGCTTTTTGAGGCATTGCTTCATTTAACCTTACCCACAATGCTATGAAATACGTTATGTATAAGATGGGGTGGTTTTTTATTTTGGGGAGAGTTAACTTTTATAGCAAGACTATCGTTTAGGTCCGAGTGGGTACTTGGAGACATTTGCTTTCTCTGTTACTTACATGTATGGAAGTTAAAAGCAAACTATGTTTCAGAGCCATATACATTGGGCCTCTTTAGGTTTGAATATAATCACAGCGTTGGAAGTCCTAGAGTGAAAGGAGATTTTTAATTTAATTGCATAAATACTGAGACATTCCATACATTCTTAGACAAGGAGATTAAAAGACATGTGTTTTTCTCATTGATCTTCAAATTTAATAAAGCGTTAAATAGGATTGAGAAGGATAGGTCTTGGCAGAAGGGGTAAATTTAACAAAGTGATCCTGAAACTTACCCAGAAGAAGCTAAGTATCTGAGAATCATCTAGAAAAAGTCAAAAAGAAGAGTGATGAGGATAGTTGCACCCTATTAGATATTTATTTCAGATGTCAAAGTATCAAGGTACTGGTGCCATACTAAAGAAACAGATCCACCAACCAAAACGTTCTGGAATATCAGAAACAGTTAACACACATAAAGGTGGCATCCTAAATCAGGGCCATGAGCGACTCTAAATGGTGCTGTGACGTAGCTCACTCAGTACTACACATCCCAAACCGAAGATGAATTTCCTATGAACTAAGAATTTTGTTGTAAAAAACATGTAATGATATAACCTTGTTGTGAGAAGGGGCTAAGAAAGATCGCAGAGGCAGATCACATAGAGGAATACCAGCACTAGACTTTCTGTGTAAAAGTTACAAGCCAGATCACAACTTCAACAAAGTTAACACATTACGGTTTTAAATGAAACTTTAAAAATCAAAGGCTTCTAAAAAGCCATACTAAAAGTAGAAGTACATTATGACCAGCGTTTGTGACAAAGGGCTCTTACCTCTGATAGAGAAAGGAGCTCGTCAAATGAGTAGGGAGCATGACCTGTCCGGAGCAAGCCGGTGGGAGAGCGCGTGCGGCGTGTCTCACTTGCGCGCTGTCTGGGAGCGGGCTCTCCGCCGCCAGAAAACGGGGATCGAGTTCCCTGTCGGAGTGGAGAAGGGGATTCCCGTCTGTTGGGCCGCTGGGGAGCCCAGCCCCGTGCCTGAGCACAGTTTGGAGCCATGTTTCCAGAGCCTCAAGATGCGGTAGCCTTTCCCCCGGCCGGCCTGCCGGTAGTGATCCTTCAGCTGCCGTAGGGACAGGACGCGAAAGGAAGTGAAGCCGACTGCTGTCGAGCTTCGGTTGTGGCCGGCCACGGTGTTTCCTCGGAGGAGCATGACACAGGGACGTGGCCTTCATTTGTTGTAGCACTTCCCCCGTGAACAGTGCGAGTGGAGTGAGACGCCAGTGTCCTGTGCGGGTGGTGCGGCTGCGGCGCCGTCGTGTGTGTCCCGTTTCTCCACTGGCGGATGGGGGTTGCGGGCTCCGGCCACTTTGTATCTGCTTCACGACCGAGGCGCGCGTAGGTTCATCTCAGGGACTGGGTGTTTAGTGGTGAGTGGCCCTTGTCGCACAGTTCTGATTTTTCAGTATTTAAATTTCAGGCAGCTGCAAGAGCAGCAGCGACAGAAGGAGCTGGAGCGCGGGGAGCGCGGGGAGCGCATGGAGCGGGAGCGCCTGGAGCGCGTGGAGCGGGAGCGCGTGGAGCGCCTGGAGCGGGAGCGCGTGGAGCGGGAGCGCGTGGAGCGAGAGCGCCTGGAGCAGGAGCAGCTGGAGCGCGAGCGCGAGCGGGAGCAGCGGGAGCAGCGGGAGCGCGAGCGGCAGGACCGGCTGGAGCGTGAGCGGCTGGAGCGGCTCGACCGCGAGCGGCAGGAGCAGCGGGAGCAGCGCGAGCGGCAGGAGCAGCTGGAGTGGGAGCGCGAGCGCGAGCGCAGGCTGTCGGCCGGTAAGAAGTGTGCGCCTCGCTCTGCCGTGGGGCGGGGCTGAGGGCGGGGCTAAGGGGGCCTGGAGGGGCGGGGTGGAGGCAGGCAGGACGGGCGGACAGGGCAAAGGGCAGCACTTGCTACTTTACCAGTTCTTGGTCCTCTCTGTGTGGCACATACTGCTTGGAGACTTAGGAAAGCTCTGTGTGGTCCGGCTTTCTAATTCTTCTGACTTGCTGTAAATTGGCTGTAAAGTGCAAGTGTCTTTTTATGGGAAATGTTTTATATCGGGTGGACTAGGAATGTATGACCCTTCGGAGGTTGCTTAAACTGTCCTGAATCCTGTAGGATTCAAGAAATGTGCTTGACGGCACTCTAGAGTTGTCCGAGGAGGAAAATACCCTCTCTACAACTGACTAGTATTTTATGGATGTCCCAATATTGCAAACTTTTAGTGAAAATTTCCAAGTCTGATGGAATTTATTGAAAGACGTAAGGGTTAAGATAAAACTGAAAGTTTGAGACATACGTTAAAATTGACATTTATTGGAATAGGATTTAAGAATTATTTTTCTATTCCATATGGCCTACATCAAAGGTCTCAGCATGGTTCTCAGTGTGGTCGATTGGTTTGTTGTTTGCAATAATTTGTTTTTAACTGCCTAATTATTTGCTGGGCTGATAGCCAGCAAAACAACACTTATCCACAAATAAGCATTGAATAGGGAGTTCCTAGCCCTTTATAAAACTTTTTACCAGTTTCGCTATTTGTTGTTCTTAAAAGACCAGCAGACGTATTCTCCTGTTTGTGGTCCTATTCATGTAATTTTAATGTCCTTTTAGTGGGCTAAATAATGAGAATTAAGATACAGTCTTGTTCTTGCAAAGGATAAGCTAAGCCATTTAATTTATCAGTGTGCTTATCAGCGAAAAAGAAAACTGAGCTCTTCCTCCTCTGGGTCTCAAAATGCACGAACAAGTTCACACGTTCTCGGGTGAGATCAGTTCTTGCACACGTGCTTAGTTCGTGGGTACTAACTGTGGTCTACATGTGTACATTTTGTCTGAATGCTGGTTTTGTGGCTTTACTAGCTCCCTTTTTCTCTCTCCTTTTTTATCCTGTCCTTGCTGCTCCCCACCTTCTGTGCAGCTCCATCCTCCGACAGCTCCCCGTATAGCGCGCCACTTCCTGAGTATGCCAGTTGCCAGCCTCCTTCGGCACCTCCTCCATCCTATGCTAAAGTCATCTCAGCTCCAGTGTCGGAGGCCACTCCTGACTCTGCTGTAGTGACCGCTTTGCCACCTCCTTCCACACCCCCTACACCACCACTTCGACACTCAGCGACACGTTTTGCTGCATCTGTAGGTTCAGCCTTCCACCCCGTTCTTCCCCATTACGCTACAGTTCCTCGTCCTCTGAACAAAACCTCTCGGCCTCCTTCTCCTGCGAACACACCCTCTTCTCAGCCTCCAGCTACGAAGCCCTGTGCCTGGTCTACTTCCACTGTCGCGTCCCTCCCTCCATCTCCTCCAGTAATGATTAGCAGCCCCCCAGGCAAAGCGACCGGTCCGAGGCCTGTCCTCCCTGTTTGTGTCTCTTCTCCTGTGCCCCCAATGCCTCCGTCACCAGCAGCACCCAATGGGCCGCTTGACTCTGTCCCGTGTCCGGTGTCCCCACCGCCTACCTCAGGGCCAGCAGCGCCGCCGCCTCCACCTCCGCTGCCTTCCCTCGCACCGCGCTCACACTGTGGATCACAAGCCTCTCCTCCTCCAAGCACCCCTCTTGCCTCAACTCCCTCATCCAAGCCTAGTGTTCTCCCTTCTCCCTCTGCAGCTGCCCCTGCCTCTGCGGAGACTCCTCTAAACTCTGTGCTGGGGGACTCCTCTGCTTCTGAGCCAGGCTTGCAGGCAGCCTCTCAGCCGGCCGAGACTCCAGCCCAACAGGGTAAGGCTTCCGTTGTTGCTACTAACAACGCACCCTGGAAACGTGGTGTGTCCGCGGCGGTCACTGCCTAGAGGCACGGGGAGGGTGGTTCTGGTAGGTGAACAGCCCTGTGTCACTGTGCCCAACTCTGTGTAACCTAAACAAGTCCAAGATGAGAGAGGCTCTTTCCTGGATTAAGTGCAGTCAGAGGATCAAGGTGGGGAGTGTCCGCACTGCTTTGGATTTTTGTGTCTTCCGCGGTATCGTAGCTGGAGGGGTGTTCTGGTATTTGAGGGCCTCCGCAACACATTCCCTGTAAATCCCACTAGGAAGACGTGACTTGACACATTTCTCTATATGATAAATACATGGCCTGCCAAACTTGTCTTCCTTTACTTTGTGGGAAATTGAGAGATTCTATTTGGTGCCCAACTGAAGTCATGAGATGTGTCTTCCTCGAGTCTCCTCCTGAACAGTTCTGATTCTTGGGCCCTGTTTCATTTTGGCTTCTCCTGTATTGGGCTTCCCACATTGGACTAGGTACGCCCCAAATCCTGAAGAGCAGCCCAACTTTGCACGAGGGGTGGGGAGTGTTGCAGGCCTGATGTATGCCCCAGGGGATTCCCATGCTCCAGAAGTACAAGAAGTAGTGGCCTGAAGGGATAGTTGGAAGAGAACAAGCATCCTCCACAGTTATCCCCCCCACTGCCTCCCCTCGCCCCAACTGGCCGTCATGGTGACAGGGGAGGGAGGATGTAATCGTCTAAGTTTGGATTATTTGTAAGTAGAGAAGGACCTGGTTCCATAAGTGAATAAGAAGACACTTGGCAACACTTTTTTTCAAAGATAGGATCTAGCAAGAATTACAGGAATGAATATGACAGCTAATTTGTACGTAGAAAGAAACGGTGTCATAGCCTGGATTTAATTAAAAACCCTTCTTTAAAAAAAATCTTTGTTCTTAAGATAAGTAATAAGACCTGTTATTGCTGTGTCTATGTTTTTCCTGTTGACGCATCGATTTTGCTTAAACACTGAGTCAGAATTCTAGTACATGCAGGCTCGTGTCACGTGACGGTAATGCCGGACAAGGGGGCACAGTGAGCCTGACGAGGTCACGGGACCCACCTGCTGTGGCCTTACAAGCCCACAGCCCGAGGGAGGGAGGCAGTCTGTTGCTCTGTGTTCCTCTAAGAGCTGCTGGTGTTTTCAGTTTCAAAAAATTACCACCCAGGGTGCAAATAACATCTTATTTGTCCTAAAATACCCCTTTAAAAGACTTCAAGGAGGGAGAGTGCCTACTAGCTCGGTCTTCTGATACTGAGTAAGTTCTCTTCACTCTCTTTGTGATTTTACAAGATTTGGAGACATTTCTCTCTTACCCCTGTCTTCTAGACTAAAAGGAACTTCAAATTCTGTATCGTTTAATTATTTCTGGTAGTTACTTTCAGGTTGTACTTTGTTCTAGTAGATTCCTTTACTTCAGTGATTCTGTACACATTGGAGTTAAAGGTGGAACATTTTTAAGATGCTGACCTGGGGACCCGCCCCTCCCTCCTGTTCTCAGTCCAGCCACTGCGGCCATCTGTCAGCGCCTAAATACCGGTCTTCACTATGGTAGGCTTAAGGGTCTCAACCTTTACAGGTTCACACAGACTCTTGGGGGTCTGTTACTTCCAACAGCCCTAACTGCGGTCCTACACACGGGCTCGCTTCTTCAGGGGCACCGCTTCCATCACAGATTTTATAAGCACTTAAGCGGCTCCATGAACCCCCAAAGATGTAACTAAGTGACTTGTCGCACAGTTCTGTTAATAAAGCTCTAACATTGAAGTAAGATGTTAAATACTTTGCTTTGCATTTTAGTATCTTTTTAACACCGATCTAGACTTTAAACGTTATGCTAAATGGAACTCATTAATAGGTAGTAAATGTCTGAGGCCACTTAATTTGGCATGGCATCCTGCATCCCTTTCCACAAGATTGCGCCCGCAGCTCTGTTGTTGACGGTCTTATTTAACGTCTCTTTCTCTCAGGCGTTGTCTTGGGACCACCTGCACCTCCGCCCCCACCTCCGCTCCCCTCAGGTCCCGCCCTGGCTCCAGCAGCGCTGCCCCCCCACCCGGGGCCTCCGCC